TTGCCCTTTATTTGATGGAGCGGTACAGGGAAGGCCATCCTCTTCCAGCAGCTCTTCCAAGTAACATTATGTACGACGAGACCTTGTTGTCCATGACAGGTCAACCCAAAGTTGCTTATGGAAGTGCTGCTTGGGGTCCTGGTATGGATTACAATTTCTTTGAAAGGTCTTTTATTTCTTATTCTTTCCTTTCTAGCTGATGAAATTTTCTTGACATTCCCATCCTCATAATTAGGTTTTGGACAGCAGCCTACACGATCCATGGCCCCTGTCCCTGGCATGAGGCCACCTGTTCCAGTAACTGCCTCCCAGCCTGATGCTGTCATGGTAAACAATCAACACAAATCAGGAGCTCCAGTGTTGGAGGATTCCTTTTTGAATCAACATGATGGCGGAGAGCAGAGTTCGGCAAACTCAATGATTCAAGATGGAACAGCCTCAGAGAAAAAGGCACCATTCTCTGCCCTTGTGGCTTGCATGCCAAACTACAGTTGAATTGGATATTTTAATTCTTTTGACTTTTGGTTGAACTTTTTGAACTTCCCTAACCATAGCAAAATGAATTTCTATCTTAATCTGAACAGTAACAGTTGGATGTCAAGAGCAAAAAAGAATTGCTACCTTCATTTGGTCCAGAAAAATGAATTTCCATTGCTTTTAATCCAATTTGCTAATTGTCTGGTCATGGTTTTTCATCTGATTCCAACTGTTTTGTTATCATATTTTTTTTCTCCAATTTTATTTTGCTCGCCATATCTTTCTTTGTACTTAAGGAGACATGTATAGTCTTGAAAGTCATTCCTGAAGTTCAATGAATATGTTATATTTGGTGCAGAGTGATGAAACAGAGAAGATGATTTTGGACTCCAAAGAAAAGATTGAGTTTTACCGTTCTAAAATGCAGGATCTTGTGAGTAGCTGCTTTTGTCTATCCCCTCCCCACCCATCCCTCCTTTTTTTTTCTCGGTTTTCTTTTCATTGATACCCAACTGTTTTGCCAATATTTGATGCATGAAAATCAAATATGCACATGAAGTCCCGAGTCTTAAGAAAAGGGTGGTTTCAGACATGGCCTGATGCTTGTTTGCCTTATATGTGGTGTTTGGTGATACTATAATGTGGTGGTTTGAATGTCAGTCAACAAGATCTGGGTTAAATATCAACAAGAATCTGGTGCTGCTTGTTTGTTTTGATGACCATTTAAGATCATTTATCATTGGAAGATGTAGAGTAATGACAGATGTAGTTCAAATAGATGCTTTTTGTGGAAAAATTGTGTCTTCTATGAATGTTATTCATTAGGATATTTCTGTTCATGTTATTTTCTTCCCCTTGATCATCAACTAGGCATATTAATATATCTACCGTGCAGTAATTCTGTTGATTAAGAGACCCTTAGTATTCAATCAGTATGTCAACCTTTATGAACAGTATAACATCCTAATGGATTTGTTCTTAACTCACCTTTCTCATTTTTTGTCTTTATTTTGTGTGTATATCAGGTTCTGTATAAAAGCAGATGTGATAATAGGCTAAATGAAATCACAGAAAGGGCTTTGGCAGATAAACGTGAGGTATGCTCTGCAATATAAAGAATTTGGTGTCTATTATTTATAATAATTGGACTTCTATGGGGTTTTATGTCAACAAATTACATAACAGGCAGAGTTGCTGGGTAAGAAATATGAAGAGAAGTACAAGCAAGTTGCAGAAGTGGCATCTAAATTGACAATTGAAGAGGCAACTTTTCGTGACATTCAGGTAAGAACTGTACTTCTCTAGTGTAGTGATGAGTCGGGTGATTTCCCAGTCTGCAAGCCTTTTGGAATGTCCAAACTTCACTGACAAGTCCTCACTCGTCTCTCTTCATATACATGGAAATGAATAGTTCTACAAACAGCACATACACGCATGTATACATGAGTAGCTGAGCTGATTTCATCAAAGCTAATTTTAAATAAGCGGATGCCAACTCTTTCTGCCTCATTACTTAACCAAAGTGGACAGTCCATGATTTCCTATTTTAACATGGATTCTCATTCTTTTCTTCCATGAATTTTTTTCCTATGAGATGCATCATGGTTCCAAGTCCTCGACTTGTGTTTATAGCATGTTTTAGCATATAAGTGTATAATAATGGTAATGTTAACAAAGCAAAATTTCTTTCCTCTCTGTCTCAACAATGGCCTTTCCTTGTCTTTTTATTTAACATGCTTAGATTTTAGACAAAAAGTTTTTCCTGGATGTGAGAAGTAAAAAACACATGCATTGTGCTTATTTAATTGGTGGCATTTAGTTTGTAACTGCTTACCATTTGAAATCATGGAGCTTGTCTGGTCTTATAATAGTAAAATGCTAACATATGAAATTATATCCCTTGATAAATTTCTTCTTTATAACATTTAGGAGAGAAAGCTGGAGTTGCGTCAGGCAATAACTAACATGGAACAAGGTGGCAGCGTGGATGGTATTCTTCAGGTAAATAGTAACAATTTAACTGTGGCAAGTCATTGGAGATTTTATCCAACACTCATCCTTTGGTGTGATAGGTTCGTGCTGATCGTATACAATCAGACCTTGATGAGCTATTGAAGGTTTTAACTGAACGCTGCAAGAAACATGGACTGGATGTTAAGTCAACTGCCGTGATTGAGCTTCCTTTTGGTACTCTCAATCCTCTCTATTTTGTGCCAGAGTGTGTGCCTTGCTTCGGAGTTCTTAAAATAGCAGTTGTGCTTTATTTTACATTTGAGCAAGCCCTTCACAGCTCAAAGAAAAGGATCTGCTGCTTGATGTGTATTTTTTAATAAGCTAAAGTAGTGTGACACATTCTTAGATAATGTAATAACTGATGCTCCTTGAATTTGATTCCTTAATAAAAGGATGTTTGAATCCAATTCACTGACAGAATTGAATATTATTCAATTAGCAAAATTCAATTCAATTAACAAGATAAATGATGCGCTTTTATGATTTGCAGCACATTCTGGAATTCTTTTGGTTTATTGTTCAGTGTGTGGAATATTTTGTTTGAATTTGATTAATTCCATTAACTCCTGAATGAATTAATATATGTTATGGTTCCCGTCATAATTGATTTGCATTTGTGATTCTCAAGGCTGGCAACCAGGAATTCAAGAGGGTGCTGCTACTTGGGATGAAGATTGGGATAAGTTTGAAGATGAAGGTATGCTCTCTACCTACCCTACATTGAACTATTTATCACACCTCATGCTTCCTTTTGCCTTTCCAATCTCCAATAAATGCCATGAATTGAGTGGATTTTTCTCAAGAATATTGCACAAATATTAGTTCGAATTTATCCATGCAACATATCATTTCCACTTTCAGGGTTTTCCAATGAGCTCACTGTTGATGTGAAAAGTGCTCCTGGTCAAAAGGAGAGAGCACCTGCGGATGGTAGTTTAACCCCTGATTCATTGTCAAATGGAGATGGGAGGTCTGGAATTTTTACTGGAGAACATGTGCTTGAGAGTGAATCTGGATATTTCCACAGTGAAGATGAAAGTGCAAGAAGCCCTCAAGGCAGTCCAGCTGGAAGGGCTGCTTCAGAAAGTCCATCTCAAGACTTTGCTGATGTTTTTGCCAAGAATACTGAAGCAGATATAGATACCCATAGGTACAGCAATCAATTTGTTTCCATGCCTTTTACCTACATGCCTCCTTCTTTAGTGCTGATTGTTGGCCTACTTCATGATGACAATGAACTTTATATTTTTGGCAATAGAAGTTTTGATGAATCAACTTGGGGTGCCTTTGACACAAATGATGATGTGGACTCAGTCTGGGGATTTAACCCTGCAGGCAACAAGGTGAGTCCAATATTCCTGAAGCGCTCTTTTATTCTACTGCAATTGAGCATGGATACATGTTGGATATTCAATTGTAGCTTGCTGAAGCACATTCTATGCTGTTATCACTTTATAGATCACTTCATTAAGGAATTGCACCTGATATACTGATTTAACCCTCACATCATGATTGCTGGAATGCTTTTACAAATGTAGGCATATTCTTGTTATTACCATCATATTTGCACATACCTTGGGCCATGCATCTGTCCTTAGGTTTCCATGTTTTTGTACATAGGAACTCTGGTCGAAGTGAAACTATTGGCAAGTCTTGTGAAATATACCTGTGTGCAGTTCTCAGGTTTTATCATCCAATGAGATATCCAGATGCATATCCATTGTCGATACAGTGAGTTGAACTTTGTGAGAGAAGCCATGTGCTATTAGAGCGCTTAAACAATGCTAAAGATACAAATTATTTTGATTAAAATTATTTTATGGATTGGTGTTGCTGCTATGATGGGTGTTGCAGTGATCGATCAAATAATAAAAGTCTGAGATATCTCTTCACGTTGCCCTCAATTATTTGGTTGTGTCATCTAGCAGGACTCTTCTGAGAACGAGAGAGATTTCTTTGGATCTGATGATTTTGGTCTAAAGCCAATCAGAACAGAATCCACACCAACAACGAATACTTTCCAGAAAAAGAGTATATTTTTTGAAGAATCTGTTGCAGGTTCCCCAATGTCAAGATTTGGCAACTCTCCAAGGTTCAGCGAAGCAGGGGACCATTTTGACAATTACTCGAGATTTGATTCCTTCAGCATGAATGAAGGAGGCTTTTCACCACGAGAAAAGCTTACAAGGTTCGACTCCATAAACAGTTCCAAAGATTTTGGCCACAGTCGTGCATTCTCTTCATTTGATGATGGAGATCCATTTGGCTCCAGTGCCCCCTTTAAGGTTTCATCTGAAGATCAAACTCCCAAAAAGAGTTCTGGCAATTGGAGTTCTTTCTAGCAGCAATCTGGTTTTCCCCTCCCTTCCTCTCTCTCCGTTTTTTTTTTTTTTTTACGGTTGCCAATTTTTGTATGTGCTGTATAGATTGTGTTGAAATGCTGCATTGTTGTAAAGTTATTCATCATGGCCTTGCTTCATTTTTATTTTGCTGAGGTAAAAAAACTTTTGTTTGGGGGGCATCCAGATCGAAGATAGAATGCTTGTTCTTTTGAGTGGCAAATTCTTGAGACCAATAAAAACTGAGTAGTTTGAGAAAACAATGCTCTTGGCATCCCATCAACTCACATTGCTCAAAATGCATTTTATTTGAAGTTGCCTGCTTCACTATGACTGTTGGCATTCCCTTTCTTCATTTTTCAATTTTTGGTGCTACGAGTTGTTTAACAATGTAAGCTAGGCAGTAAACACCGTTTTTGGAGGCGCGTGACCTTCCTTAAGGGTTTTGACCACGCGCTTCCTTGGATATTTCTATTATCCAGATGAGCTCGGCTACTAGGCTGTGTCTGAATGAGATTATGGGCTTGTTAGCTGGGCCTTTTCCATATTGGCAAGTTGTGGACTCCTATTGGGTTTTGCATGTTGGATTTGGTTCCGATTTGATTTTTTTCGGTGAATCTATTTTTATCTACAACGTAGTAAGTAAATAGCTATTCCCGGAATAATAAAGGAATGTTGAAGTTGTTTCGGCTTTTCCCGGGGAAAAGAAAAAAGATCATTCCTTCTGTATTTTGGAATGCTATATATAGGCATGGTGCTCGTATTGTTTGTTTTCTTCACTAGAGTTTACTGCCCGACATCATTCCTGCTTCTTTATTTTTTTATTCCCCGAAGAAGTTTATATATGGGCATGGTGCTCATCAAATGCAATAGATTTTGGAAATTTAAACAAAAGTATTTTCTGATATTACTAGAGGACAACGGTGCTTGTGCTGGAGTTTTTACTGCCCCATCTATCAAATTGCAGTGGTCATTTGCAAAGAAAAGTCACTAAAAAGAGCATCATCAATATTCCAAGAAAGATGGTCCTTCCAAAATCATCGAGTTAATGGACCACATACCGACACTGACATTATTTGTGCTTTCTTATGGAATCACACTATTGCCGCTCCCAACACGGCAAGGTGACTCAGGTGGTGTTTTTGTTGTGGTAGCTGGAGGTGGAGGAGTGAGGGAGGTTGGTGTGATGGATATGGAGTTATCAGTACTACTAGTGGTGCTCTCATCCACGCAGCTTCCATCCATTTCTTTTTTGTTGTTGTAGTAAAGAGAGAGGAGCAAGAGAGACAGAGACAGAGAGGGATGAGGTGTTTTTGTTGACTAGAACTAGAGGTATGATTCGGGTTGTGCACGAGGATTTGAGAATATATATAGATAGAGGGTAGCTGTGTTGGGTAAAGTTTTGGGATTTTAATTTTAATTTTTGATTTTATGAGTTAAATTAAGAAATACGGGGTGGGGTGTACTGTGTAGTCTTGGGGAGAGACGGGGACGTGGGTGAGGTGGTCCTATACGTGTGTGGAGGGTTGTATATGGAGGTAGGGTGGGGCCTCCTTCTTATTACCAAAGGCATGCTGGATATTTTTCCAGGACATTAAACCGAAACACTGTTCAGTCTCGACTCAACTACTTCAAGGAAAGTCTGCCCGTTGCATGCTCTTGGAAGCAATTGGATTATCTACTCTATTTATGAAACAAAGGCCCTACAAGACGTGGAATGAGTCCATGAAAAAGCCATGCAATTAATTCATTCATAAATTTCGCAGGCAAGCATTAGACGCAAACATGGCCTAGAAGACGCGAGCAATTATTTTCTACACGGTCTCTTTCCATGGAAGGATGGATTGACTGCCTGGCCTTCTTAGTTTTCAAATGCCACTGTTCGTGATTAGAATGCCTGTTCTTTTGAGTGACAGATTGTTGAGACCGATAAAAACAAACTGAGAAGTACGAGAAAACAATGGTGGTAAAATTTCATGCTCTCATTTTCACCCATCAACTCACATTGTTCAAGTTCCATTTTATTTGACGCTGCTTCACCATGACAGTTGCCAGTTGGCATTGCATTTCTTCAGTTCTTAATTTTTGGTGCTATGAATTGCTTAACAGTCTAAGCTAGACAATAAACACCGGTTTTGAACTTTCTCTACACCACAACTACATCAGTCTTTCAAGATTACAGGTTCGATCCCTTCAGAAATTGGGAATTCGAAGAATTTGTATGGACTTTCTCTACATCACTTGTTCGATTCCTTTTTCATTAGACAATTTAAAAAACTTAGCATTTCTATATCTCTCTTATAACCAAATCAACGGATCCATCCTTTTGAAAATATGGAACTTGACAAATTTGAAAGCATTAGATCTCAGTTCAAACAATATCAATGGTTACATTCATACCACAGTAGGCAGTTTAACCCAAGGTTTTTAATTCCGCTTTGGTTGACATTTTGTTTTTTTTATTGGAATGACATGTTTCGTTTTCAAAGCATTTTAATATGCCGGAGTTATACTGTTTATATATGTATAATTTAAAATATTAATTCAACAAACATAGTTTCAATTTATATTTAAAGATAAACTAATTTAAAATTATGTTTTTAAAATTTTAAACACAAATAAAAAAAATAAGAATTGAATAAATATGACCTGATTAACTAAATGGGTTTGAAGACAGTCTGGACGATTGGTAAAAATATAGTTTGATTAAAAAAAATTCAAGACTTCATAATTTTTCTTAAAAAATATTGAGACGAGAACATATTGGATCGATTCATGTTATTATTTTAAATTCGTAATCCAGATAATGAGATCATGATAACCCTAAATAAAACAAACTAAAATAAGTTATGAATCTAAATTACAAACAAATTCATTATTGAAGGGTGAAATTAGTAAATTCAATTTAAAAAAAAGACAATAAAATAACCTTTTTGAACAAAATTATGAACTTGAACAAAATTATAAAAATATCATCTGTAGTCTTGTAAGACCTTTTTAAACTCTCATTGCTCTAAAAGTTTAACCTATGATGAAATAATATGCAAAGAGACTCCTTATAAAATTTTAATCCGATCTATCAGTTGGATTAAAAGATATAAGTGATACCGTAAAACTAAAAAATTCTTTTTTAAAAAATAAAAATAAAAAAAATACTATTTAGCTTGAACGGAACCAGAATGTTCCAGCCAAAATGAAATTAAAACATTCTGGTTGGGATTTTCAAAACAAGCCAAGATTCTGATTGAGATGAAATTTATTTTAGTTTATTTTGTTTTTAAAACTGAAACAAGAATACCGGGCATTCCGGACAGAATATAATAAAATTAATAACCTTGCTATAACCATTTTGAGATATCTAAAGCCTTATTCCAATCAAATCAACGGATCCATCCCTTTGGAAATATGGAAGTTGGCAAATTTGGAAGCCATAGATCCCGATTCAAACAATATCAGCAGTTTAACCATTTTGAGATATCTTAACCTTTCTTCCAATCAAATCAACGGATCCATCCTTTATGAAATAGGGAACATGGAAAATTTGAAAACATTAGATCTCAGTTCAAATAATGTCCATGGTTCGGTTCCTACTATGATGTGCAATTTGAAAGCTTTATGTCTATATGGGTTTTTCATGGACTCATTCCACATCTTGTAGGGCCTTGTTTCATAAATAGACTTTAGATAATCCGGTTGCTTCCAAGAGCATGCAATGGGCAAACTTTCCTTGAAGTAGTTTGAGTCAAGATTGCCGATTGACCTTGCACGTCAATATAGACTAATAATCAGCTTGTCCTAGCCTACAAGTTGAGTCCAACCTAACCAATCTACTGTTATTGTTAAAAAAATAAAAGCAATCCAATTCCCAATTCAATATATACAGAATCTATAAAAATTAAAAATATTACATTGCAGCTACGATTATCTCTGGAAAAAAGTTGAAGAAAAAAAAAGTGTAATTACATTATTTACAAATTAAAATTTAAGGACCGTTTGAAAATACAACTGAAATTGTGTTTTTTTTAAAATTAATTTTTTTATTTAATTATTTTTGTAATAAAAAAATTGAATGCTGCGGAAATGTAAAAATTAATTTTTTATATTATTAAATTGTTTTGATATGGTGATGTGAAAAATAATTTTTTTAAAATAAAAAAAATATTATTTTAATATATTTTTAAATAAAAAATATTTTAAAAAATAATTATTACAAAACTCTTAAAGGTCTCTTTCCATGAAAATCAGGGAGAATAGAATTAACTGAGTGGCCTTCTTAATTTCCGAAATCCACTATTGGTGATTTGTAAGCCTTTTTCTTAATCACAACGCGAGAAAGGTACACGTGAAAGACCAGACGATCTTGACTTGGAACGAGTCCATGGGAATGCCATGCACTTCATTAATAAACTTAGCATTATCATTGAAGGGAAGCATTAGACACAAACATGGCGTCCATTGATTATGAGCCAAGACTTCTTGCAATTTTAAGCATCTCATTTTTCTTGTCCTGTATTTTTGTATCTGTGGCTGCACTTGACTCAGCCTTGCTAGCATCAGAAGGAAAGGCTTTGGTTGAGAGTGGATGGTGGAGTGTCAACAGAAACCTCATCTCATTTCGTTGCATGTGGCTTGGCATAGTCTGTGATCGGGCTGGAAGCATCATTGAGATTTCCCCACCTCCAGAGTTCCTCAAGGTGGGAAATAAGTTTGGAAAGATGAACTTTTCTTGCTTCTCAAACCTTGTCCGTCTCCACCTGGCCAACCATGAGCTCAATGGAAGGATCCCGCCTCAAATTTCTACCCTTCCACAACTCAGATACCTCGACCTGTCCTCAAATAATCTAGCAGGTGAGTTACCGTCTTCACTTGGAAATCTCAGCCGATTAGTTGAGCTTGATTTTTCTTCCAATTATTTCACCAATTCCATCCCTCCAGAACTGGGCAATCTTAAAAATCTTGTTAATTTGAGCTTGTCTTATAACAACTTCAGCGGCCCAATCCCTTCGGCACTTTGTCATTTGGACAATCTAACGCATTTACATATGGATCACAATAGTCTCGAAGGTGCCCTCCCTAGATAAATAGGGAACATGAGAAATCTAGAGAGTTTAGACGTGAGTTATAATACACTTAATGGTCCAATCCCTCGAACAATGGGTAGTTTAGCCAAGTTGAGGTCTTTGATCTTTCTTATGAACAAAATCAATGGATCCATTCCTTCGGAAATAGGAAATTTGACGAACCTTGAAGATTTATATCTTTGCTCTAATATCCTAGTTGGTCCAATTCCTTCAACGTTGGGTCTTTTACCCAACTTGATTCATCTAGATCTTTCTGACAACCAAATCAATGGATCCATACCTTTCAAAATAAAAAATTTGACCAACCTTGAATATTTAGATCTTTCCTCTAATATCCTAGGTGGTTCAATTCCTTCAACTCTGGGCCTTTTATCCAATTTGAATTCTGTAGATCTTTCAGGCAACCAAATCGATGGACCTATCCCTTCAGAAATAGGAAAATTGACGAATCTACAATATTTACATCTAGGTGGCAACAAGATCACTGGTTTGATTCCTTTTTCATTAGGCAATTTAAGAATCTTGACAACTCTATATCTCTCTCACAACCAAATCAACGGATCCATCCCTTCATCTTTGAAGTATTGTAAGAATTTGGCCTACCTAGATTTGAGCTTCAATAATTTAAGTGAAGAGATACCCTCCGAACTATATGGCTTGTACAATTTACAAAATGTGAATTTTAGTTACAATAATTTCTCAGGCACTGTTCCCGTGGCTTTGCCATCGCCCTTTGATATTCATTTCACATGTGGGCAAAATTCATCTTTTAAAGCTACTGCATTTGAGGGCAACAAAGATTTACACCCTGATTTCTCACGTTGTTCATCTATTTACTCCCCACCTTCAAAAGACAACAGAATAATTCATTCCATCAAAATATTTCTTCCTATCACCACCATTTCACTTTGTCTCTTGTGTCTCGGATGTTGTTATCTGTCTCGGTGCGAGGCTACCCAACCTGAGGCAACTTCATCAAAGAATGGAGACTTGTTTTCCATATGGAATTATGATGGGACGATTGCATACGAAGACATCATTGCAGCGACCGAGAACTTCGACCTCAGATATTGTATCGGAACCGGTGGTTATGGGAGCGTCTACCGAGCACAACTTCCAAGTGGGAAATTAGTTGCCTTGAAGAAACTTCATCATCGAGAGGCAGAGGAGCCGGCTTTTGACAAGAGTTTCAAAAATGAGGTGGATCTGCTCACACAAATACGTCACAGGAGCATAGTAAAGCTTTATGGATTCTGTTTGCACCAGCGCTGCATGTTTCTTGTTTACGAGTACATGGAAAAGGGAAGCTTGTTTTGTGCCTTGAGAAATGATGTTGAAGCTGTGGAATTGAAGTGGATGAAAAGAGCACACGTCATCAAAGACATTGCTCACGCATTATCTTACTTGCATCATGATTGCAACCCAGCAATTGTTCATCGAGACATATCAAGCAGCAATGTTCTGTTGAATTCAGAATCCAAGTCTTTTGTTGCTGATTTTGGTGTGGCTAGACTTCTCGATCCTGGTTCGTCCAACCATACTGTACTTGCTGGTACCTATGGATACATTGCCCCAGGTCAAATATTTCTTCTTTATATACGTGTATCACTCATGTCATGCACACCAACAATAAAGCAAACTCTCTTTTACATACTACTTAATTTCATTTTTTTTTATGGACAGAGTTGGCTTATACTATGGTGGTGACAGAGAAATGTGATGTCTATAGCTTTGGAGTAGTGGCGCTAGAAACATTGATGGGAAGGCATCCAGGAGATATCCTATCATCATCTGCTCGGGCTATTACACTGAAAGAAGTCTTAGATCCTCGTTTGCCACTTCCGACAAATGAAATTGTCATACAGAATATATGTATTATGGCAACTCTGGCATTCTCTTGCTTACATTCGAATCCAAAATCTCGACCTTCCATGAAATTCGTGTCTCAAGAATTTCTATCTCCCAAGAGATCATTGGTTGGTCTTGAGATTTCTTTGCTGGAGCTGCGAGCTCTTGGCATGCACGCAAATGGAGGTGATGTCACAGTTCCTAGTCGAAAATGTGAACTTTGAGCTCACATTGAAGTTTATAATATTTCTTAATTTTGGAAGTACTTTTTTCCTTTTTAGTACACTAAATGTCTTTATAATATTTTACTGTGTATGTAATTTTAACGAAGCACACTTTTCTCGTGTACTGTAGAATCAATTAGAGCATCACTGCCTGGGTTAAATTGAAATCATCACTCATCTTACAATTAGGCAAATCCCCACTTGAAATATGCAGAAGATATTTGTTAACTCCATTTGTTCCTGCAAGCTCTTGTATATTGGATGCCCGAAAGCAGTGTTTGGATTGATTTTTTTCCGACTGATGTGCTTTGGTATTTATCATTTGGCACAGATGGGATTTTCAATCATCTTCCAAAGGAATACCACTTCAAGATTTATGTCTCATGTTTGGAACCGAAAGAAGTTAAAAGAGAGTTTTTATTGTCTCAGAGACATTTACTAACAGAAAAAATGATTTCTTCGTGTCAGCCTCTGGTTTATAAAAGAATGAAACCAGGCTTTTAAGTTGAAATTCTTTACCATGATACCACTTTTATCATCCTTATTCCCCTTCATGATATCTTTAAATGAGAGAAAGCTTGGGGTGTGTGTAACTGTCCTGATGCTCTTAGACAAGCCAGGAAAAGAAGGGTAATCCTCAGGACCAACATCTGTCATCTCTTTCTGAGGGCAAAGCCCAACCCCAGAACTTGCTTGCAGGAGCACACAACATCAGGCTCTTATTATCATATGCTTCACCACGGCACCACCCCTCCGAGCGGTGAAACAACCTCATTTTCAAAACCTTTCGTCGGTAAATTAACATGCTCACAAGTAACCTGATTAAAGATCACAGTAGGATTAAAAGGGACGAATCACCGAAACATAAAAAACCATCAATGAAATTAAGAACAATGAGATCGCTACATACTAGTAAGTCTAAGTTATTGCAGGAATGGAGAATGGGGCGATAGTAATCAAACATTACAAGGTGTTCATGGACATGATAACTGGAATTGAGTTAAATTTATGTTTTAATTTATAAAAACGTGCTTAATAATTTTTTTTTTTAAATAATGATATAATAATCAAAAGCAAAACAATGGTAAATGGCTAGTTAAGAAAAAGCTTGACGGAGCTGAACAAGATTGAAAAGAAAACAATAGTTTTTTGTTTTTAATTTTAAAAAAAGGTTTGAGATGCTCCAGAGCTAATTTATCACATAAAGAGAAAATAATTCTCAATAATAATCAAATAAATTACAAGAAAAATAAATGTTTTCTAGGCCTAATACAACTTAATTGTTTATATACTACTAGTTATAAAAATAAATTACAACTTGTTTAAATAAGTATTCAACTTATTTTTACTGAAAATAAAAATTATAAAATAACTAGAAAAAATAAAAAAAATCCAAATAAACAAGAAAAATTTAGAAAATATTGTTGACTAGGCCTATGATCCATAAATTAATGCATTAGATTGTCCATAAATCCACATTTGGTCAAAAATTTTTTGTCATTTTTTATTTTTTATTTTTCAATTTTATTCTTCAGTATTTAGTTGATTTAGAATCAGACTTCATATTTTTTTTTGTCTTACTTTCTATAATGTTATCCTGGTCTCATTACTAAGATTATAGTTTAACGAGTTAACTCGAATTGACTTAAATCTTTTTTTTTTTTTAAATTTTATTTCTAAATATTGAGATTTCATATCTTGAGTTATAAGTCAACTCAAGTTTTTTTTATCCTTTTTTTAGTTTATTTTTTTTAATTTTATCTTTCAACATTTGATTGATTTAAGATTAAGTTTTATATTTGTTTTTGCTTTCTATGAGGTTATTTCGGTCTTATTATATAAATCACGAGTTTGGCTGATTCATCTGAGTTAATTCAGTTTTTTTAATTATTTTTTTTTTCAATTTCATCCTTCAACATTAGATTGGTTGAGAGTTAAACTTCATAACTTATTTTGATTTGTTTTATATTGAGTTATCTTAGTCATATAACTCAAGTTGTTTGTTTTTTGCTTTTTTTTTTTTAATTTCATCTTTTAACATTGGTTTAATTGAAAATTGAGTTTTATATTTGATTTTGATTTGCTTTCTATGTGGTTATTTTGGTTTTATGATTTAGATTGTGAATTTAAAAAGTTGATGTAAGTTGATCTAATATGTTTTTATCTTTATGTTTTTTTCAAAAACATGCTGTCTTAATTTTTTTTAATCAAACTATATTTTTAACGGTTTTTCAAGTTGTTTTTATACTCGTTAAGTTGACTATATCATATTAAGTTAATCCCACATTTTAAATTTTTTTCAACTAAAAAACACTAGATATTTTTTTACCTTAAAAAAATTAATCTGAACATCTGACTACCAATATGTACGTTGTCTACTCTATTTGTGAAAGTAAGGGACTAAACGACGTGGGCAAACGGATCGACTAAGAATGAAATCCACAAATTAATGGCAAGAGGATCAGAATACATGTATTTGGATTATTTTCTGCTCGATCTCTTTCCACGAAGATCAGGGAGAATAGATTAACTGACTGGCCTTCTTAATTTCCAAATGATACTATTGGTGATTGGTGAACCTTTTTCTCCTACGTGGAAAAAGAAAAAAACTAGCTAGACAATCTGAAGCTATTGTCTTAGGCATTGGAATTTGGTAGAATGAAAAGTCTTGCAGTGAACGCATATGCATCATCTTTGGTTTCAAGAAGACGGTAAGAATAGAACACGTGAGAGACTGTCTTCTAAAGTTATTTTTGATAATTTTAAAATTTTTTATATTAAAAATATTTTAAAACACATGAAAAACATTAACTCAATTTTATTTTTAAAACTTTAAAAAACACATGGATTATAATAATGGACAATGTTTAAATCCCTTTTTAAGTGATTTTAAAGAAGTATTCCCGTATTATTTTAAAGCATTCAAATGAATTAATAAATTCTCGTAACTAATAATATTCCTAAAGTTTAAACTCATACTATCAAGCATTTCCTCCTAAATCATTATATCATCCTCTTAAGATTACAATCACGAGTCACCCGACTCGAAAACCAGAATTGGGTTAAATTGAAAATATCAAGCCTCGATAACGGTACATTTTTAATTTTAACAAGGAAACTGAGGCTAAATCATAAATTCAAGCAAATATTTTTTTTTAACACCAAACACGAACAGCTGAAATCACAGTCTCCTTTTGCTTTCCTGTCGATCTGGGGAATTTTTTTTGCAAAAAAGATCTCCTTTTCCTTTTAATTAATTAAACCCCCCAAATCCGAACTCGAATAAAATCCCAAACATTTTTCCAGCTCGACCAAAATTCCAATTACCTTCGATCCCACAAAATCAATTTCTCTGATTTTTAATTTTCCTCATCGAATTCAATTCAAATTCATGTGATCTTCTAAATCCGAGGAGGCAGTAGAAATGGCGGTGCCAAACATGGATCAATTCGAAGCGTACTTTAAGAGAGCTGATTTAGATGGGGATGGAAGAATCAGTGGAGCTGAAGCTGTCTCTTTCTTTCAAGGATCCAATTTGCCCAAACAAGTCCTTGCTCAGGTCACCCCTTTCTCCTTTCTATACTCTGTTGAATCGACGTCTTGATTCAAATTAGGTCAAAATTATAGTTAAATAGATGCTTGATGGTGAAAAAGTCGATTTTGTTAATCAATTTGAAAATAATTGAAATCTAGGATTCGATTAAATTAGGTCAAAACTGTTTGTTTATTTTCTTTTTGGAATATTAGATGCGAGGATTTGTGAGATTTAACTCGAGATATTTTTTTTTTAATGTGGATGCAGATATGGATGCATGCTGATCAGAGTCGAACTGGCTTCCTTGGCCGGCCGGAGTTTTTTAATGCTTTAAGACTTGTAACTGTTGCTCAGAGTAAGCGAGATTTGACACCGGACATTGTCAAGGCAGCATTATATGGACCGGCTGCAGCAAAAATCCCCCCACCGCAAATTAATCTTCAAGCCACAGCTGCTGCGCCACAAATGGTGGCGGCTTCACCTGTGCCGCAGATGGGTTCTGCTGCCCCAACAACATCTCAAGGTTTTGGCTTTAGAGGACCAGGAGTTCCAACGGCTGCGCCTCAAATGGTTGCTTCATCTGCCACGCAGATGGGTGCTGTTGCTCCGACAGCATCTCAAGGTTTTGGCTTTAGAGGACCAGGAGTTCCAAATGCTACTATGAACCAACAGTACTTTCCTCGGCATGGTCAAACTATGAGACCACTTCAGGGTGTCCCTCCAGGAACTGCTTCCCGTCCACCTCAGGGTATGCCCGCCAGTAGTCTGGGGGGTCCATCGTCAGTGATGCTTACTGGAACTGCTTCCCGACCTCCTCAGGGTATGCCTTCCAGTAGTCTGGGGGGTCCATCATCCATAATGCCTACTGGAACCACCCCCCGTCCACCTCATTTCATGCCTGGTGGTTCTGCTGGTCCAACTCCCAGTGTCTCAAACCCGAACATATCAAGTGATTGGCTTGGTGGAAGGACTGGTGGAGCTCCAACTAGCCCTGGAGGGGTCCAGCCATCTATACCCACCATTACTTCCCAGCCGCGACCTCCAAGCTCAGTTTCCTCCCAGCCCATTGCTAATGATTCTAAAGTTGTTTCTGGAAATGGGTTCGCCTCTGATTCGTTTTTCGGTGGTGATGTGTTTTCTGCAACCTCTACTGCAACAAAACAAGAACCCCCTCTGCCTACTTCTTCAGCTACCAGTGGCACACAAGCTCCCATTAAGTCCGGCTCACTTGATTCACTGTTGAAAGCTGTTAACAACCCAACCTCATCTTCCATTGTCTCGGGTTCTAGTGATGCCCAAGCCCGAGGTCCAGTTAAGTCCAGCTCACTTGATTCACTTCAGAGTGCTTTTGCTATGCAACCTCTGGGTGGTCAGCCTGAGCGAACCCAATCATTACCGAGCCCAGTCCCACAAGTTTCAGCTTCAAATTCTGCCTCACTTGTGTCACCTGGCATTTCAGTTGGAGTTGGAAAATCTTCTGATAGCACACAGCTTTCATGGCCAAAGATGAAACCAACAGACATTCAGAAGTATAATAAAGTTTTTATGGAAGTAGATACTGACAGAGATGGAAGAATCACTGGTGAGCAGGCACGGAATCTTTTTTTGAGCTGGAGGCTACCAAGAGGTAATGGATTTTCATTTTTCCGCATGGCTATGGATTCTCCGTGGATTAAGCATTATAGAATGTTCATGGCAAATTAACCATATTGTGTGGGTTCCTTCTGATGGGGGGAGTCAAATTTCTAATTGGACGTTAATTTTGGATTTGGTTTTTGTAGATGTTATAATTTGATGTAGGTTTTTAGACTGTATTGTTTGATCTTGGATATGATGTGATGAATCTCCGTTGTTGTATGTGTAATGCTTTATAAGCTATTGCCTGGTTGCCTTGTCTGATATTATTTTGGGATGATGGTTTCTCTAGACTGTAAATTGATTTTGGATATGATTGAGATAAATCTTCTATGGTATTCGTGTGTTGCTGCATAAAAAGCGCAGATCTCCTTTTCTTTTCTGATTGCTTATGCTTATTAAGTCCTTATTTGCCTTTTGCAGAGATTTTAAAGCAGGTCTGGGATTTATCTGATCAGGATAGTGATAGCATGCTTTCTTTGAGGGAATTCTGCTTTGCCCTTTATTTGATGGAGCGGTACAGGGAAGGCCATCCTCTTCCAGCAGCTCTTCCAAGTAACATTATGTACGACGAGACCTTGTTGTCCATGACAGGTCAACCCAAAGTTGCTTATGGAAGTGCTGCTTGGGGTCCTGGTATGGATTACAATTTCTTTGAAAGGTCTTTTATTTCTTATTCTTTCCTTTCTAGCTGATGAAATTTTCTTGACATTCCCATCCTCATAATTAGGTTTTGGACAGCAGCCTACACGATCCATGGCCCCTGTCCCTGGCATGAGGCCACCTGTTCCAGTAACTGCCTCCCAGCCTGATGGTGTCATGGTAAACAATCAACACAAATCAGGAGCTCCAGTGTTGGAGGATTCCTTTTTGAATCAACATGATGGCGGAGAGCAGAGTTCGGCAAACTCAATGATTCAAGATGGAACAGCCTCAGAGAAAAAGGCACCATTCTCTGCCCTTGTGGCTTGCATGCCAAACTACAGTTGAATTGGATATTTTAATTCTTTTGACTTTTGGTTGAACTTTTTGAACTTCCCTAACCATAGCAAAATGAATTTCTATCTTAATCTGAACAGTAACAGTTGGATGTCAAGAGCAAAAAAGAATTGCTACCTTCATTTGGTCCAGAAAAATGAATTTCCATTGCTTTTAATCCAATTTGCTAATTGTCTGGTCATGGTTTTTCATCTGATTCCAACTGTTTTGTTATCATATTTTTTTTCTCCAATTTTATTTTGCTCGCCATATCTTTCTTTGTACTTAAGGAGACATGTATAGTCTTGAAAGTCATTCCTGAAGTTCAATGAATATGTTATATTTGGTGCAGAGTGATGAAACAGAGAAGATGATTTTGGACTCCAAAGAAAAGATTGAGTTTTACCGTTCTAAAATGCAGGATCTTGTGAGTAGCTGCTTTTGTCTATCCCCTCCCCACCCATCCCTCCTTTTTTTTTCTCGGTTTTCTTTTCATTGATACCCAACTGTTTTGCCAATATTTGATGCATGAAAATCAAATATGCACATGAAGTCCCGAGTCTTAAGAAAAGGGTGGTTTCAGACATGGCCTGATGCTTGTTTGCCTTATATGTGGTGTTTGGTGATACTATAATGTGGTGGTTTGAATGTCAGTCAACAAGATCTGGGTTAAATATCAACAAGAATCTGGTGCTGCTTGTTTGTTTTGATGACCATTTAAGATCATTTATCATTGGAAGATGTAGAGTAATGACAGATGTAGTTCAAATAGATGCTTTTTGTGGAAAAATTGTGTCTTCTATGAATGTTATTCATTAGGATATTTCTGTTCATGTTATTTTCTTCCCCTTGATCATCAACTAGGCATATTAATATATCTACCGTGCAGTAATTCTGTTGATTAAGAGACCCTTAGTATTCAATCAGTATGTCAACCTTTATGAACAGTATAACATCCTAATGGATTTGTTCTTAACTCACCTTTCTCATTTTTTGTCTTTATTTTGTGTGTATATCAGGTTCTGTATAAAAGCAGATGTGATAATAGGCTAAATGAAATCACAGAAAGGGCTTTGGCAGATAAACGTGAGGTATGCTCTGCAATATAAAGAATTTGGTGTCTATTATTTATAATAATTGGACTTCTATGGGGTTTTATGTCAACAAATTACATAACAGGCAGAGTTGCTGGGTAAGAAATATGAAGAGAAGTACAAGCAAGTTGCAGAAGTGGCATCTAAATTGACAATTGAAGAGGCAACTTTTCGTGACATTCAGGTAAGAACTGTACTTCTCTAGTGTAGTGATGAGTCGGGTGATTTCCCAGTCTGCAAGCCTTTTGGAATGTCCAAACTTCACTGACAAGTCCTCACTCGTCTCTCTTCATATACATGGAAATGAATAGTTCTACAAACAGCACATACACGCATGTATACATGAGTAGCTGAGCTGATTTCATCAAAGCTAATTTTAAATAAGCGGATGCCAACTCTTTCTGCCTCATTACTTAACCAAAGTGGACAGTCCATGATTTCCTATTTTAACATGGATTCTCATTCTTTTCTTCCATGAATTTTTTTCCTATGAGATGCATCATGGTTCCAAGTCCTCGACTTGTGTTTATAGCATGTTTTAGCATATAAGTGTATAATAATGGTAATGTTAACAAAGCAAAATTTCTTTCCTCTCTGTCTCAACAATGGCCTTTCCTTGTCTTTTTATTTAACATGCTTAGATTTTAGACAAAAAGTTTTTCCTGGATGTGAGAAGTAAAAAACACATGCATTGTGCTTATTTAATTGGTGGCATTTAGTTTGTAACTGCTTACCATTTGAAATCATGGAGCTTGTCTGGTCTTATAATAGTAAAATGCTAACATATGAAATTATATCCCTTGATAAATTTCTTCTTTATAACATTTAGGAGAGAAAGCTGGAGTTGCGTCAGGCAATAACTAACATGGAACAAGGTGGCAGCGTGGATGGTATTCTTCAGGTAAATAGTAACAATTTAACTGTGGCAAGTCATTGGAGATTTTATCCAACACTCATCCTTTGGTGTCATAGGTTCGTGCTGATCGTATACAATCAGACCTTGATGAGCTATTGAAGGTTTTAACTGAACGCTGCAAGAAACATGGACTGGATGTTAAGTCAACTGCCGTGATTGAGCTTCCTTTTGGTACTCTCAATCCTCTCTATTTTGTGCCAGAGTGTGTGCCTTGCTTCGGAGTTCTTAAAATAGCAGTTGTGCTTTATTTTACATTTGAGCAAGCCCTTCACAGCTCAAAGAAAAGGATCTGCTGCTTGATGTGTATTTTTTAATAAGCTAAAGTAGTGTGACACATTCTTAGATAATGTAATAACTGATGCTCCTTGAATTTGATTCCTTAATAAAAGGATGTTTGAATCCAATTCACTGACAGAATTGAATATTATTCAATTAGCAAAATTCAATTCAATTAACAAGATAAATGATGTGCTTTTATGATTTGCAGCACATTCTGGAATTCTTTTGGTTTATTGTTCAGTGTGTGGAATATTTTGTTTGAATTTGATTAATTCCATTAACTCCTGAATGAATTAATATATGTTATGGTTCCCGTCATAATTGATTTGCATTTGTGATTCTCAAGGCTGGCAACCAGGAATTCAAGAGGGTGCTGCTACTTGGGATGAAGATTGGGATAAGTTTGAAGATGAAGGTATGCTCTCTACCTACCCTACATTGAACTATTTATCACACCTCATGCTTCCTTTTGCCTTTCCAATCTCCAATAAATGCCATGAATTGAGTGGATTTTTCTCAAGAATATTGCACAAATATTAGTTCGAATTTATCCATGCAACATATCATTTCCACTTTCAGGGTTTTCCAATGAGCTCACTGTTGATGTGAAAAGTGCTCCTGGTCAAAAGGAGAGAGCACCTGCGGATGGTAGTTTAACCCCTGATTCATTGTCAAATGGAGATGGGAGGTCTGGAATTTTTACTGGAGAACATGTGCTTGAGAGTGAATCTGGATATTTCCACAGTGAAGATGAAAGTGCAAGAAGCCCTCAAGGCAGTCCAGCTGGAAGGGCTGCTTCAGAAAGTCCATCTCAAGACTTTGCTGATGTTTTTGCCAAGAATACTGAAGCAGATATAGATACCCATAGGTACAGCAATCAATTTGTTTCCATGCCTTTTACCTACATGCCTCCTTCTTTAGTGCTGATTGTTGGCCTACTTCATGATGACAATGAACTTTATATTTTTGGCAATAGAAGTTTTGATGAATCAACTTGGGGTGCCTTTGACACAAATGATGATGTGGACTCAGTCTGGGGATTTAACCCTGCAGGCAACAAGGTGAGTCCAATATTCCTGAAGCGCTCTTTTATTCTACTGCAATTGGGCATGGATACATGTTGGATATTCAATTGTAGCTTGCTGAAGCACATTCTATGCTGTTATCACTTTATAGATCACTTCATTAAGGAATTGCACCTGATATACTGATTTAACCCTCACATCATGATTGCTGGAATGCTTTTACAAATGTAGGCATATTCTTGTTATTACCATCATATTTGCACATACCTTGGGCCATGCATCTGTCCTTAGGTTTCCATGTTTTTGTACATAGGCACTCTGGTCGAAGTGAAACTATTGGCAAGTCTTGTGAAATATACCTGTGTGCAGTTCTCAGGTTTTATCATCCAATGAGATATCCAGATGCATATCCATTGTCGATACAGTGAGTTGAACTTTGTGAGAGAAGCCATGTGCTATTAGAGCGCTTAAACAATGCTAAAGATACAAATTATTTTGATTAAAATTATTTTATGGATTGGTGTTGCTGCTATGATGGGTGTTGCAGTGATCGATCAAATAATAAAAGTCTGAGATATCTCTTCACGTTGCCCTCAATTATTTGGTTGTGTCATCTAGCAGGACTCTTCTGAGAACGAGAGAGATTTCTTTGGATCTGATGATTTTGGTCTAAAGCCAATCAGAACAGAATCCACACCAACAACGAATACTTTCCAGAAAAAGAGTATATTTTTTGAAGAATCTGTTGCAGGTTCCCCAATGTCAAGATTTGGCAACTCTCCAAGGTTCAGCGAAGCAGGGGACCATTTTGACAATTACTCGAGATTTGATTCCTTCAGCATGAATGAAGGAGGCTTTTCACCACGAGAAAAGCTTACAAGGTTCGACTCCATAAACAGTTCCAAAGATTTTGGCCACAGTCGTGCATTCTCTTCATTTGATGATGGAGATCCATTTGGCTCCAGTGCCCCCTTTAAGGTTTCATCTGAAGATCAAACTCCCAAAAAGAGTTCTGGCAATTGGAGTTCTTTCTAGCAGCAATCTGGTTTTCCCCTCCCTTCCTCTCTCTCCGTTTTTTTTTTTTTTTTACGGTTGCCAATTTTTGTATGTGCTGTATAGATTGTGTTGAAATGCTGCATTGTTGTAAAGTTATTCATCATGGCCTTGCTTCATTTTTATTTTGCTGAGGTAAAAAAACTTTTGTTTGGGGGGCATCCAGATCGAAGATAGAATGCTTGTTCTTTTGAGTGGCAAATTCTTGAGACCAATAAAAACTGAGTAGTTTGAGAAAACAATGCTCTTGGCATCCCATCAACTCACATTGCTCAAATTGCATTTTATTTGAAGTTGCCTGCTTCACTATGACTGTTGGCATTCCCTTTCTTCATTTTTCAATTTTTGGTGCTACGAGTTGTTTAACAATGTAAGCTAGGCAGTAAACACCGTTTTTGGAGGCGCGTGACCTTCCTTAAGGGTTTTGACCACGCGCTTCCTTGGATATTTCTATTATCCAGATGAGCTCGGCTACTAGGCTGTGTCTGAATGAGATTATGGGCTTGTTAGCTGGGCCTTTTCCATATTGGCAAGTTGTGGACTCCTATTGGGTTTTGCATGTTGGATTTGGTTCCGATTTGATTTTTTTCGGTGAATCTATTTTTATCTACAACGTAGTAAGTAAATAGCTATTCCCGGAATAATAAAGGAATGTTGAAGTTGTTTCGGCTTTTCCCGGGGAAAAGAAAAAAGATCATTCCTTCTGTATTTTGGAATGCTATATATAGGCATGGTGCTCGTATTGTTTGTTTTCTTCACTAGAGTTTACTGCCCGACATCATTCCTGC